AAGAAAAAATCTCGGGTTCTATATTCACTCGTATGACATTCCTAGTCCGAACTATAGTTACGTTATCTCACAGTGTAAATTGGGAAAGTGTCCATTGATGGGTATTTAGCGCCTTTTAGCTTCGGCTCCTTCCTCAAAACTTTTCAAATCTTGGTTCCGTTTTTGAACAAGCTCCAGAGCTAGCTCCCGGAGCCCAGCACTTAAAGTGACCTTTCATTTTCGCTTTTAATTATAATATTCTAAATTTAGTAATCTTAGGAGAGGCGCTAAAGAAGGGTGTCTATAAGAAATTTAATTTCAAACAATATTCAGAGTTTTACGCAATAATAACCGAAATTTTAAATAAACTAAACATTTAATCTTTATAATAATTTAGGCTCATGGATTTGGCTAATTTTGAGAAGGAAATGTCGCAAAAAAGACAAATCGTCGAAGACATGGTCTTAAACATTTTCCCTTTTTGCATACCTAAAATAATTTTTAAATAAATAGGGTTCACAAATGTGGAGTACTATAATGGAACAGAAAGTCTTAACTAGAAAAGAACGAGCTGCAGAAATTACAGCTCGTCAACGAAGGCAATGTAAAATAATTAGATAGTCTTAAATTTTGTAGTTAAAAATATTACAATTGTTAAGATGAGAATGCTAATGTCAAATCTGGTCCTCCAAAGAATCAATGTCCGAGTGGACCTAAAGGTGTGCGAGGCGAGCCAGGGGAACCAGGTGAGATAGCATATTAATTTTTAATTTCAAGTCGGTAGAAACACCCCCCCCCCCCTCCCAGGAGGCAAGGAATTTCAGAAAAAAATAGCTGAAAAACTAAAAACCCGGTCCCTAATAATAAAATATTAAAATCAGTGTTTGACTAATATTATATTCTAACATTATTATAAAATCTTAAACTATAATTACATCATCTGACATTAAATCAGAACTGTTCCTTATACTATGGTTTCAATTCCTAAGCGATTCCAATCTCAGTGTTCTATATTTTTGGTTTAGGAAACTGAACTGTATCTCTATAGGATCAGAGTACAACTAATTTATTTATATTAATTATTCGATTTAAATTCATCAAGGAATGGACGGAGAACCGGGTGGTGCAGGTGCTCAAGGAAGCAGTCAAGTAGCTTCTGATCCTGGAAATGCCTATGGAGAGACTGTAACTCTTGGCTGTGGGAAATGTCCTGCTGGTCCTACTGGTTTACCTGGATATAAGGGCAAGAGAGGTCCCAGAGGAGATAAGGGAGCAAAAGGATCTCCTGGTGCCCCTGGTCGAGATGGACAACCTGGAGATGAGGGACCGGAAGGGGAAATCGGTCTTCCTGGTGATATTGGAGATCCAGGCGTGAAAGGCACCCCTGGAGAGGATGGTAACAGATTTTAACCTCCTTCCTTATTTGATGAATATTTAAGGCGTTGGATACGCAAAAGGAGATCCTGGACCAAAAGGAGTTGCTGGCCCGCCCGGTGAGGCTGGAGATGAGGGCCCAACCGGTGATAGAGGTGATGATGCTGCTCCAGGTCTGTAACTCTAAATAATTGTAAACATAATTTCAAATCATTCAAGGTCCTCAAGGACCAATTGGTCCTCCAGGTGCACGCGGTGACAAAGGAAAAGACGGCATAAATGGAAGTCCTGGTACCCAAGGATTGCCTGGTAAACTAGAATTAGAGTTGTACCCCGACCCCGTACCCCGAACCCCGACCCCGTTCCCGAACGATTTTTTCACGATTCTCCCCGACCCGAACCCCGCCCCGAAAAAAAGTGAAAACCCCGTTCCCCGGCCCAAAAAGTTTCGGGGTTATCGGGGTTTTATACCCCTAAAAAATGTCATTTTTTGGAGAAATTAATGAAGAAAATTTAAAAAATTTCTACCCATTTTACTTTGCTTTTATTATTTTAGAAAGAAAAATGAATGAAATATCATAATTTTCTTTCCTTCGTTGCGAAGAGACTTGTGGTTGAGTGGCTTAGTCGTTGGTTTTAGCCTTATTTCATTGATATAAGATTGGGTTCGGATCCATAAGTAGTTAGTCCCCCGTCCGAGTCGTTGGGGGCAGAGGGGTCCGCAAAATTAATCCCTAATTAATTCCTTGTAATTACATCACTAATTAGGACCATCCTAAAGGTTTAGGGACTTCCGGTATCACCCCAAAGGGTCTTATCACAGATAACTGATATAGGAATAGGGGTCCGTGAAATTAACCCCCAATTAGACCCATGTAATTACTTCCTTGTAATTAGTACACTAATTAGGAATATCCGGTACCAATCCAGGGATCCAGGCAAACTAAAAGGTACCTTTCCCCCACAAATTTTTTAAATTTATTTTTTCCCTTTTCCTTTTCAGAAATTTTCCTTTGATTTTCTTCTATTGTATTTTTTCGCGCAGCGTGCGTTCATTTTTTTAAAGATTTTATGGGTCAGCTTAAAACTTTTCCTTTTTCCTTTGAATTTTTTAAAATTTTCTTTTGAATTTCTAGGTAATCTCTGACCTAGAAAAAATGTTCTCTTTTAATGGAAAATATGAATTAACAAGGATTAACAAGGATTAAAGATTTAAGGATTAATCCAAGATATCTACTGATATCCGTCCAAATACCCTTATCCGCAATACATCAATATCCTTATAAATCACTAATATCCCTTGAACCAACAAAAATCACTCCAGATCACCTTGTATCCCTAGATATACCATTTAATCCCTAAAAATCCCACTTAATCCCTCCAGATCCACTTATATCCCAAGTTATACACTTTAATCCCTTCAAATCCCCTCATTTCTTCAAATCCTACTTAATTTTTGAATAAATCGACGAAAATATATTGATTTCTAATTATTTTTGAGCATTTTTTTCTCTAAAAATTTTTCCACTAAACCCCCGTACCCCGACCCGAACCCCGGCCATATTTTGCTCCCCCGACCCGAACCCCGCCCCGAAACAATTGGAAAACCCCGTACCCCGACATACCCGCCCCCGAGCGTTCGGGGTACAACCCTAACTAGAATATTATCTTTATTAATCAGTAAACTAATTAAAATAGGTGCCGATGCTGAATATTGCCCATGTCCGGAGCGTTCAAAAGGTGTCGATGTAGGACCCGCTCCTCCAGCAGCTCAATCCCCATCACCACCATATCAACCGCCTGAAACTCATCCAGCTAATAATTACGGTGCTGCTGTGCCAAATAAAAGTGCTCCTGAAGCAACAAAAAAGCCAGAAGTTGGTGCTTATGAAGTAAAATCTGAGGGAGGTAGTGGTTATGGAGGAGGAACAGTAAAAGGTGATAATAATAAGGAATTTTTATAGAAATAATTTAAAATATTTAGCAGCATCTGAAACCAGTTCAGATAGTCTTGGAGAACAATCGACTTCAAGTCGACGTTTATCTGCATATAATAAGCTTGTCCATGCAGCACTTAGAAGACGCCATTTTCGTTAATTAATACATACTTATATTAAATAATTTCTTAACTAATTAAAAAACGAAAATATTCTAGAACATAAAAGTAATAGAAGAACGCATTTTCAAAATTTGACGAGCACGGTTATGAGATTTCCTAGGCCTGGATCCGACACTAAGATAAAAATTACTTAGACTTCTATATAAATGCTTGTTGAGAGAAGATTGTGGCAGGTTTCCGGTTTAACATCTAATATCATTACTGCAACTAAAACAGACTCTAAGTCAACATGTCTAGTGATATTCACGTGCATATGTCTATTTATGGATGCACTTTTTGTATATTTTTGTATTCAATATTGCACTTATATTTATTAAAGAGTGCCGACCAATTACTTTGGCTATTAATAAAAATCTAGACATGCCAGATTTTATTTTTTATAAATGTTTAACGTCTAATAATTAAACTTTAATAATAAAAAGGTTATTTCCTTAAACGACACCACTAATACAGAAAATCCTATATGAGGCAGGCTTTCATACAAGTGCCGGATCTAATTTGCATGTCAAATTTCTCTTACAATACTTGTTAGTTTTCTCTTACAATACATGTTAGTATTGTAAGAGAATTCATCTTACACCATTCAAAACACTTAAATGGGGTTAAAATTTGAAATAACATTAAAAAAGTCGGGATATAGAGCAGTTCTACATAATTCAAATCATTACTGAAATAAAACTCCCTCAGATATTCTTTATAAAACACTTTTAAAATATTTTATTTAGTTTAAAAATTTTAGAAATTTTTTTTGATGAATCGTTGTCAATTATTATCTAAAATTTCAATATTAATTTTACTCCCTCTAGCAAAAACGTTGGACCCTTGTGAAGAACCATGTGTTAATAATCATCATCTCAAGGAGGAATGTAGAGGACGTAAGTTAAATACTCATGAATTTGTTTGGAAATTTAAAAATTATCTGAAATAACCGTTTGATCTTTAACTGTAGGTCCGGGGTCTAAATTCTTTTTAACTTTTATTTTAATTCTCCGAATATTGTATATTCGGGTTTCAATTCTTAATTTTTTCAAACACTTTTATTCAAAGTTTATTTAAAACAAGTTTATTTAAAACACAAATAAATATTTTAAAGTTACGTTCAAAAGAAGGTAGGTTGTGGGGAATTAGCTGAGTATTTATATGAGGGGAAAAGGGCGGAAAACAAATATATATGAGTTAATGTTTAAAGTTTAAATTATTTATGATAAGGAGCGGTTTTGGGTTGAGGAGACATAGAAGGGGAATGCAAAGTATAAAAAATAAGCCAAGAGGGAGAATAATATTTAAATACATAAAGGAGATTAAATGTAAGGATGGGAAAAGGTCATTGAGTTAATAAAAGGGGAAATTACAAATATTCAAAAAATTCAAATAATTCTTCAAAACCAATACATAACACTCCTCCCTTCCTCAATTTAGTATCCACGACGATAGTAGTCACGACGATGTCCATTACCATTACTTCCACCTCCATATCCGCCACGGCTATGACGATATGGGCTAAAACGTTCATTTGCTCTCTCACGCTCTAATTGGCGTAAGAGGAAAAACAATCGAGCATCTCTGGCACTGCGGCCGCCTCGCGGTCGCGGCCGTTTCCACGTCCTCTCGCCTCACGGCGGTTTTGTGGCCCATCTCTCGCATCAATACGGTTATTTTGCTGATTTTCTATAGGAACTTGTTGTTGAGCATTTTGTTGTTGTTCCTCATTTACTATAGGCTCTCCAACAACTTCCTCCTCTTCCGGACCCATAACAGAAACAGAATCAGAGGAAGTCTCGCTTTCCGCGGATAAACCTTGAACTGCATTTTTTAATTCTAGAATGGAGTTCTCAATCTCCAGAAAACGTGGATTTACTTGTTGTAAAATTTCTTTTACAACTTCTTTTGATTGGTCGACAATAGCTTCACGAATAAAATCGTGAGTTTTTCTAATAGCTTCTTTAATTTGCTCATTCTCTTTTTGAATTGATTCAAAAAGGTTGTTGTTCTTCTTTTTGTTGTTAGTGGAGGAAGTTGTTGTTTTTTGTCCACTACCACCATCTCCTCCTTCTCCAATAATTGTGTCGTTTCCCAAAATTTGATCAATTTCCATTGTTGTCATATTTGAATTTTTTTGAAGCAAATTAATTTAAATTTTAAATTGAACTATAAAAAATTACAAAACAAATGGTAAATAATTTAAAAAACAAAAGGGGTTTAATATAAGGGATATATGTGTAGGAAGAGGGGGGTAAATGTTGAAAATTAAAAAATAAAAGTATTTTATGTACAAAAAATTTTTTCTTTTTCTACCCTAGAAGGGCGGCGAATTTCTGAGTCCGCTTTTCCGGACTCGTATTTGGTCTGTATGAGCTGTTTTTTCAAAGCCATCCTCCAGCTCGACTTTATATACGTTCTCTCCTGAGCGTTCTTTAATTATTCCCGCCTCCCATTTTGTCTTTTCTCCATAATTCCTAACCCAAATTAATTCATTAATTTCAAATATTTTTTGTTTTGGGGGACTTTTCTGCTTGTTTTCCTCACAATCATTTAAAAGAGGGTTTAATTTTGATGACTGAACTTTTATTAAGTCGAGCGGTGTTTTAATCTCTCGTTTAAGAAAAAGCTTTGCCGGAGATTCCCCATTAAGGGAGTTGTGCGGTGATGCTCTATATTCAATCAAAATAGTTTCTCGGGCAATTTCTAAAGGGATTGAACTGTCTAGCATTTTCTTTATGCCGTTTTTAAATGTTTGAATAAACCTTTCTACTAAACCATTACTTGGAGGATGGTAGGCAGTAGAGATGTGCGAGACTCTTGGTCTTGGTCTTGGAACCAAGACTTTTCTTGGTTTTTTTTCGGTCTTGGTCTTGGTCTTGGTCTTGGGGTGTTTGTCTTGGTCTTGTCTTGGTTTTATTTTTTGGTCTTGATTTTTTGGCCCCTTTGGATCTACTGATTGGCCTTCCAAAATCCTCAAAATTTTCGCCTGCGGCGCTGAAAAAGTGAATTTCTTTGGCCTACCGCCTTCTAAAATTCATAAAATTTTCGCCTGCGGCGCAGGGAAAGGAAGATTTTTGGCTTCTTGGCCTTAATAATTCCCAAAATTTTCGCCTGCGGCGCTAGAAAAGGAAGAATTCTGGCGGCAGGCAGACATTTGAGGACGGACTTTTGAGGACGGACATTTGAGGACGGACTTTTGAGGACGGACATATGAGGACGGACATTTGAGGACGGACATTTGAGGACGGACATATGAGGACGGACATATTGAAAAATAAATACAAAATTTGACTTTTATAAATTCACATAAAAAATTAAACATTTTATAAATGTACATACGTAAACAACTTTTATTTACTTCAATTCTTTTATTAATCATCCCAATTGTTAAAACCATTGTCTGCAAGTCTGAATTGAATTGCGCGTAAATGATTTAGAATTTGATCATCATTCATATTAGGATTATTGTCGAAATGTAATACTAAAGTCTTTAATGCAGCATCATTATTCTTATATTTTCGAGCTCGAGGACGTAAAGTGATACCCCTCGTTTGATCCAACTCATAGACTCTTAATTTATCTTGGACAATACGTTCTTCTGTTTTCATCACATGAATAAGTCTTAAAGAGAATTGAAAAATTAGAATATAATTGTACTTTGACAACGGTGGATGAACAGAAGAAAAGTGGGTTCTTAACGATTTGTGAAAAGATTCTATTGCATTATTTGTACGCCCTAGATCGTTGAGTACTGAATCATGATTTAAAGGATACCAGTCTCTCACTTCTGATTGTTGTGCTCATCATTGTATTTCTTTTATTTATTTTCTTTCGAAAGGCTATACTTTCAACCAATATCTTAAAATGTTAGACAATATTAATGACCCTGATATATTTGTGCAAAACATTGTAAATAAAATGATTAATTAGTTTTTGTCCTGGGACGAGTATAAATAGTCGTCGAATCCATTCATTCAAACATTTATAATGTCTGAAGAAATTTCTCGCAAACCTGTGTATTTTGTCTTTGACAAAAATTTATGGAAGCTTACCAAACCAAAATATGTACTTCAGTTTTATTTTTGCAAGGAATGTAGAGAAAAACTATTCCATTCGGAAGATAAATTAGTGAGATATGAAAATGGGGTTACTGTAAAGTTTGATTTATGTGAGGATTGTGTTACAAAGAATTGTCGAGTGACCGACCTGTGTGTATAAAAGGACAGAATTTTTACCAAAACATTCATTCTTCCAAAATGGTTCTTGTTGTTGATGAAATTGCTCGCTTTCTAGACTGCTCCGTCCGTAGCCTAGCCGGACATTTAGATAATCCTCAAACAAGAGTTTGTGTGCTTACGAAATTTTTGGATCGTAAAGTCCGCACAACTTACTTAAACAAAGACTTTGAAAGAAAGACCTTCTTATTTGGAGGTCTCACAAGAAAAGGCGCAAATAGAATTCGCGCCTATGGACGCCTAAGACGTCCCTATAATATTAGTATAGCGCAGCATTTTTATACAAGACATCGTATACAACTTAAGAACCCGTACCTAAATTGTGTAATCGAGCATCGACCTTGGGCTAAGGATAGTTTTTATCCTATCGAGTTATTGGAATTTGTTGATGATGAGATAGAAAAAGTTCCAAGCTTGTCTTCAGAATTTTCAGAGAAGGCAAAATTTTCTCCTCCAGATAGTCCTGAAATATTTATGGACAAGGAATTTGAAGACGAGATGGAAATTTATAGGGGAGACCTTAGTCAAGATGAGTGGTGAAACTTGCGCACCCTAAACACATGCGCGCACCTAAAACACACGCACACCCTTTTGCACACTGAAAATATGAAAATTGACAAATTTCATCTTCTTTTTCTTAATATTGTAATTTTACCCCTAAAAAGAATTACTCCTTTTGTTAAAATCTGAAATCTACTACTTTGTCTCACTAATTATGTAATTTTACCCCTAAAAACTATGTCTTCTTTTTCTTAATTTTTTAATATTTAAAAAATTGAATCTTTGTTTTCTTAACAATGCAATTTTACCCCTAAAACTTGTGACTTCTATTGAATAATTTTTGAAAAATTGTATCTTTATAAATTTTATCACGAATAAAAATTTTTTACAAAATATTGTGTAAATTATTTAGTAACAATAAGAAAAATTTTATTGAAAAGAAAAAGTATAAAATTATTGTAATAAATAGGAGTGTGGCTTCGCCATTTGACAGGCATGCCCAACTCAACCAGGGAAGTGAGAATTTATACTCAAGTCCACGACTACCGATTTCCAATGTGAGGATTACCTCACAACATTCGATAGTTGGTATAGAGTTGGGTGCCCGTACCCCTGCTACTTTCCAACCCTTATAATTACAATAAAATTCTAGGATGGCAATTATTAATATGCCCAAAATTTAATACAACAAAATCGGAAGGGCGGACAATGCCCTTACCGACATAAGGTTTGTAAATTTTTGTGAGGGGTTGAGTAATAATTGACCCATCTTTAATGGATGGCCTAAGAAAATTTGGATATTTAATTAAAATTGGAATGTTATCATATTTTGTGAAATCAAAAACTTGTTTCTTAAAATTTTCATAACATAACCCTTGGTTGTTGATCACATCCCAGTTGAGTGTCATTCCGCGGACTTTGAGAACATAGTCTGGCTCAGCATTGGGAGTAGACTTCTTTTGGAGTTTAAGCCCATATTGTTTGGCACCCCCAGAGCAATATTCCAAAATATCAGTCTGGGTACTCATCAGTAAACTGACCCAGATGAGGCCCTAATTTAAGTGGGCAATTGTTGTTTGGGTGGGAGAAGATTAAAGAATCGGTGTCAGTGTAAAGGAGCTGACACCCGGGCGTCCTGACGACTTGTTGCATAGCGTGTAGCAGGTGGATCCTCGCTGCTGAGGTGGTCCATAGCGAGATTATGACGTTTGACGAGTCATGTTCTTCCACCCAGTCTTTCTTCTTGATGTAGTTTATGAGAATGACATCTTCGGTGAGCTCATCAATTGAATTAATTGTAATAGAAGGGTCGTCGCACATTTTAGCCAATACATTCGGGTCGTCTGTAATTTTGCACTGAGAAAGCCCAAAATTCCTTAACGAAAATCGACCCCATAAGTTGTTTAGACACAATTTTGCTTGTGTCCGTTTACCCTTATTGACCACCATCTTTTCCCTTTCTATATTGATTCCAAACATTTCCAGGCACTCTTTCATAAACTTATCTTCCTTATCCTTGTTACCCTTGATTGCACTATCGAAGCCAGAAGAGTGAATTTTTTGGGCCATAAATTCACTAATGTAGGGGCTGAAGAGTGTGTCGTCGTAACATTTAAATTCCAACACTCTAAATAATTATTGTGTAAATTATTTAGTAACAATAAGAAAAATTTTATTGAAAAGAAAAAGTATAAAATTATTGTAATAAATAGGAGTGTGGCTTCGCCATTTGACAGGCATGCCCAACTCAACCAGGGAAGTGAGAATTTATACTCAAGTCCACGACTACCGATTTCCAATGTGAGGATTACCTCACAACATTCGATAGTTGGTATAGAGTTGGGTGCCCGTACCCCTGCTACTTTCCAACCCTTATAATTACAATAAAATTCTAGGATGGCAATTATTAATATGCCCAAAATTTAATACAACAAAATCGGAAGGGCGGACAATGCCCTTACCGACATAAGGTTTGTAAATTTTTGTGAGGGGTTGAGTAATAATTGACCCATCTTTAATGGATGGCCTAAGAAAATTTGGATATTTAATTAAAATTGGAATGTTATCATATTTTGTGAAATCAAAAACTTGTTTCTTAAAATTTTCATAACATAACCCTTGGTTGTTGATCACATCCCAGTTGAGTGTCATTCCGCGGACTTTGAGAACATAGTCTGGCTCAGCATTGGGAGTAGACTTCTTTTGGAGTTTAAGCCCATATTGTTTGGCACCCCCAGAGCAATATTCCAAAATATCAGTCTGGGTACTCATCAGTAAACTGACCCAGATGAGGCCCTAATTTAAGTGGGCAATTGTTGTTTGGGTGGGAGAAGATTAAAGAATCGGTGTCAGTGTAAAGGAGCTGACACCCGGGCGTCCTGACGAC